ACAATGGCCATCAAAATCTTCGGATACCAATCTGCTGGACTATTGTGTCTGGAGTATTTTGAAAAGCAAGCACTAAAAAATACCAAAGTGTCGATCACCTCAAGCAAGAGCTTCGCCGGGAATGGGCCAAAATACCTCAGAGCAACATTGGGGCGGTTTCATTGGCCGTTTGAAGGCCATAATTCGTGCCAAAGGTGGCCGATTCGAAAAAATCTAAAGTTATTCTAAAATTTGATGATATTTCCGGCATTTTTTGCTTTTATTCAATATAATTTAAATTTTGAAGGACACCTCATCCATAAATCGCTAGCCTTTCTAAGAGATACATGTTTAAGGAATTCCTAGCTGAAATTGTTGTTTTTTTTTTTAAAGATTTCATGAAATAAAAAATATTGAGTCAGTTGTTATTAATAAATTTCCTGACAAAAAAATGTGGGTTTTCATAGAAATAAGTTAAAAATATCAACTGCCTATTGTACTTTGTATATAATAAAAATAATTTTTATTGTTAAAAAAAAATATAAATTTTTTATAAATTAAAGTTCAAGGGTCGTCAGGCGGAGCCAAAGTTCCATTATACTTTAAAATTTTCCATTAAAAACTTGACTACTTAGCCCGCTCTGTCAATTTGTGATTTATTTTTAGGTGGTTTGCTGATGGCGCTGGTTCTGAAGTTTCATTACACTTTCCCAATAAAAATATTACTATTTTAATTGGATAGGGTGACCCCCAACCTACTTTGATTTATGCTTTATTGATTTTTCAAGATATTTTGTTGCTTTCATGCGTAAAAAATTTCGCATTAAAATTAACGACATTATTTCTATGGGTTATTTTTTTTTTGACACATTTATCTCCTTCATCAATAATGCGTTTATTGTCAATATTACAGAAAAATTTGCATTTACAGAAGTTTCATAGTTCTACTTCAAGCCTGATTACAGTTGGAAGTACCAACAAGGTGTGTACATGGTGACAAATTCTCAATTTTATGGTTGGGTTTAACGATCGAAGAGAACATAAAAAAATAATGGTCAAATGCCACTACTTTTAAAACGCATTTTAAAATTCCCAGTTAGATATTAGGATATTCGAGAATGGGCCCATAAGTGCGTGAGAATTTATGTATGTGTGTGCTTATTTATGTGTCTTGTAGCATTCTAAATGTATGTGTCTTGTAGCATTCTAAATGTCACATTCACAATTCGAATAATTAAACATTGCGAATATTAATTAATAACACAACATATGTAACAATTAAATTCATATTTGTAACTTTGCATGTCAACATGCCAGAGTCCGATTCATGCCAGAGTCCGATTCATGCATATTCTAATTTAAGTTGGTTTGAATTGACACTTTATGAATGAGAACATATTAACACATAAGAAAACCTACATGCTTCTGTACGATATATACATTTTTATACCCTCCACCATAGTATGAAGGGTATGTTAAGTTTGTCATTCCGTTTGTAACACCTCGAAATATACATGTTAGATCCCATATACAGGGTGAGAGGAAAAAAAATGCAACTACATTTATATTTAAATTTTATTGAATGAAAGTAAAAAATGTCGGAAATAGAATCAAATTTTAGAATAAGTTTTGATTTGTTCGAATTGGTCACCTTTGGCACGAATTATGGCCTTCAAACGGCCAATGAAAACGTCACACGCTGCCCGAATGTTACTCTGCGGTATTTTGGCCCGTTCCCGGCGAAGTGCTTCCTGAGGTGATCGACACTTCGGTATTTTTAGTGCCAACCTTGTTTTCCAAAATACTCCAGATACAATAGTCCAACGGATTGGTATCCGGAGATTTTGGTGGCCATTGTGAGCTGAAAGTGAAGCGAGGAACCTCATTTTGTAACCATTCTTGGGTGGCACGTGCTGAGTTCGACGGTGCTGAGTCCTGTTAGAATGTCCAAGGTCTGCGGCCAAAATGTTAGCATGCACACACCCTTAATACACCCTTCAGAATATTTTCGCTTTAATATTCGGCATTTTTTCTGATTAGTACGAGCGGAGAGCGACCATCGGCTGTTATGGCGGCCCACACCGAAGGTGCACATTTTCAGCTGACCTCTTTAACAAGTAAACACGATAATTTTGTTTGTTTACAAACTGCTGCACAACTAATGTTTTTTCATCGGAGAAAACCAAATTCGGCAGTTCACCACTTTCGGCCAAGCGAAGCAACTCTTTAGCTCTTTTGAGTCTATTTTCTTTCTGTTGCGGTGTAAGTGCTTGCACTTTTTTGAATTTCATAGCTTTATCCCGAGCTCAGTTTTTCAATATGTTCAGCTCACGATCCATTTTTCGGCCACTACGACACGGGTTTTTATCAAGTCGCTTCTTTACTTTTCGAACAATTTCTGCTGACGTTGCTGTTTTCTTCCGTCCAATTCCTTGACGTCGGGCTACGCTACCAGACATCAAAGATTTTTCCACATTTATATGCTGGAGTGCTCTAACGACGGCAGTTTTTCAGCCAAATATAATGAAATCACATTATCACGCTTGAATTCCATCATGAATAAAATTTTTCTGGAAAATTCTCACCAAAATGCTTTTGTACGCATGTAAACAATATAATAAGCTATCACTATATAGCTATATGAGAGAGAGAGAGAGAGAGAGAGAGAGAGAGAGAGTTAAGGACAGAGAAGAAGTCTAGAATTTTGGATGACCATTGGATTATATTTAGCAGTAAAATGGACCACAACTTTCGTGTGGAATTGTGTTGACTACCTACCAACAAGACGGAGTACCTAAATATTGGGCAAATGTCTATCTTCATTTCGACATTATTTCAAGAACGAAATCTTCTAAAATAGCTTTAGTCATAAGGGGGCTGGTGTAGGTATCAGATGGTCGGCCCCACACTACTATAGCTTTCGTTTACTTTTTTATAATTAGGATTATTAAAATTTTTGAATATTTGTATCAAAGGACTGGGTCCATATTATTGCACCTGAGATAGCACTGACATAAATATTAACATTCGCAAAGATTGAACAAATCGAATGATACTTCGATGTTTACCTCCTGTATACTCTGAAACGTTTATAATCGCCATTTGAAAGAGATCGTACAAAAATGATGCTAGTGGAATCGGTGGAATATATATAACATTTTGTTTAGGGTATAACAACAACATCAGTTGAACGATTAGCGTGAAATGTGAGAACTATAAAGGTCGACATGTGTGTGGTTGTCTAGGCTAAGTTTGTTGTTTAAAACTGTCAAATAACTGTAGCATATTTTAAGGAGTTTTAAAAAGTAAAATAAATAAAAATGTACATATGAGATATTCGTCTTCAAAATATGGTAAAGACCGTCGAAAGAAATGGAATCAGGAGCGCTACTCCCAAACATGGTCCTGCATTAAAATTTATTGCGAAATAGTGTTGAAGCCAAATCGATTCAAAAATAGGGTCAAAACACCTGCTGTAACCCAAATAAGCGTATATCTCTATATATTTTTCTCTCCATATTTTGCTATGGAAAATATGGCTAAAACGGAAAAAATACTTGAAATCTGGTTTTACTTTTATGTAGGAACTATAACAAAAAGTGGACCGACATGATCCTCATTTTTAAATTTCCAAAGCTCTATACAGGGTTAGATGAAAAAACTGCAACCAACTTCAGACTGCTGTCATTTCTAAGCCAGTCGTCCGACAGCTGTTAAAATTATTCCAGTGACAGCTCATTATAGTGCTTACAAGCGTCCAAAAGGATTTTGGTTAGAATTTTCCAGAAAAAAAGTTTTTCGTCATGGAATGCAAGCGTGATAGTGTGATTTCTTAATATTTGGCTGGAAAACCACAAGTGGCTATCGTTAGAGTACTCCAGCATTTAAATGTGAATAAATCTTTTGTGTCTCGTACCATCCCTCATTACCGTGATACTGGCGGCGTAGCCCGACGTCAAGGAAGTGGACGGAAGAAAACATCATCATCAGCAGAAAGTAAAGAAGCGACTCGATCGAAACCCGCATGGCAGTGGTCGAAAAATGACTCATGAGCTAAACATATCGCAATATTCCATTCGGAAAATAATGAAAAATGAGTTCGGAATAAAGCCATTGAAATTCCAAAACAGTGCAAGAAATTAACGCCGCAACAGAAAGAAAATAGACTCAAAAGAACTAAAGAGTTATTTTGCTTGGCCGAAAGTGGTTTGGTTTTCTCCGATCAGAAAACATTCGTTGTCCAGCAGTTTGTAAACAAACAAAATGATCGTATTTACTTGTCAAGAGGTCAACTGAAAATGTGCACCTTCGGTTGGCCACCAGAACTCAAGCGCCGGCCATGGTGATGGTGTGGACCGCCATAACAGCCGATGGTCGCTCCCCGCTCTTATTAATCGACCGAATATTTTCGCGAAAATATTCTAGATGGTGTATTAACGCCTTGGACACGCAAACATTTTGGTCGCAGACCTTGGACATTCCAACAGGACTCAGCACCATCGCACACAGCACGCGCACCCAAGAATGGTCACAAAATGAGTTTCCTCGCTTCATTTCCAGCGCCACCAAAATCTCCGGATATCAATCCAATGGACTATTGAGTCTGGAGTATTTTGGAAAGCAAGGTTGGCACTAAACAATATCAAAGTGCCGATCACCTAAAGCAAGCGCTTCGCAGGGAATGGGCCAAAATACTACAGAGCTACATTCGGGCATCGTGTGAACGTTTCATTGGCCTTTGAAGGCCATAATTCGTGCCAAAAGTGACCAATTCGAACAAACCTAAACTTCTTCTAGAATTTGATGGTATTTCCGAATAATTGCTTTCATTTAATAAAATTTAAAAGAAATGTAAAAATTATAGCGTTTGACTTTGTTGCAGTTTTTTTTTTCTATCTCACCCTGTATACCTTCCATACTATGGTGGAGGGTATAAACATTGTATATAATTATTTACATTTACTTGTGTTCCAGCGTTTGCCCATAACTTCTTTTGCATAAAATTAAATTAAAATATTCAACTTTGATTTTCTACAAGAATTTATTATTGAATTGATAAAAATAATCCTAAACATTCAGTTTTGCTCGAATAGCATTCTATACAAATTTGATGAAGAAGTTATAAAAATGTATAAATTTTTAATTATTATTTTCATTTCAATCAGTTCATAAAAGATTTTTGAACTATAAAATATTCCCCTACTTCTTCACATGAAATTATTGCGATTCAAAAAATGATTTTTCGGCAATTCGGCCTGTTCCTTTTCTGCGTGTTCGTTAATGCAATCGACAATGGGACGTCCACTTTCCACCGCTTCGGTCAGACCATTACGCACCGCCGTCGAACTGATTGTCTTCAAATCACTGGCCGCATCCAGTGCGGCAAATACACGGATCATGGCCGTGGTGAAACCACTGGCATAATCACCAAATTCACCACTTTGATAATCGTTCGGCAACATGTAATGATATTGGGGCCAATAGCTTTTGGTAATGAAGAAGACACTGTTCGAATCGGATGGCTTGAAACTTTTATCCAATCCCCATACGAAATGAGCCGAGTTAATTAACCAACAGACATTCAGGACGATCATGTAGCGCAACGAAAAGGCCACAACAATTGAGGCAGTCAGCGAATCACCCCAATATTCCAGTGGCGAGTTGACGGGCAGAAGAACGTGCAGTACGATGAAGAGAACCCAATAAAATCTGTAAAGAGAAATTGGGGAAAGAATTTAAAAATAATGTTTTTAATTTTCTGATTTTTAGTTATTTACGTCGAGCATTTATTTTAAATTATTTCAAATGTAAGTTCAATAAAATTGAGCTCGAGGTCTTTGTTGTTTTTTATTTGTTTATTATTTTCGATGTTTCGTCCTCTGACAGAAGACATGCAAGTGACAAAACAGATGACAGCAACACAAGATCGACGTCGGTACATGGCGTAATTTTGTATATTTTTGTTATACGTTTAAATATTATTGTACCTGACGATTTCTTTCATCGAAGGACGAAATATCGAAAATAATAAATAAATAACAAAACAACAATGGAATACTTATGTTTTTAAGTTTAACTTAAAATTTTACATGTGTATCACTGCTGGTGCCAGTGCGAGATATGAGGAAACGAGGAGTTATCGGAAATTCATACAGAAAGGTATTACAGCTAAAACTGTATCCATGCATATTTAGTTGTATAATCTGCGGATCTTGTGTTAGTAGAAATAATGTGATATGTGAAGTATTAAGGGAATCGGATGCTTATTACGGATTTTATAACCGTATGTTTATCCAAAATGTTGACCCTTTGTCCAACCTCTATTTTCATTATTACACGTCTTGTATTGATAGATGTATTGGGAAGTGCCAAGTCTGAATTGAATCGGATCTTAATTTCGCGTTCTATGAGCTTCATGGGTATGCAATTTTCGCACCTGACATAGCGCTGAGCCGTAAAATATATATATATTTTTTTTGAAAATGTTGACTTTTTTGGGGGAGGTACCAGAATGTGTGAATGAGGTGTGAAGATGAATGAAAACGGATGTTAATTTCGCGATTTATAAGCTTCATTTTGACCTTTGTGGGGTATGCACCAGAAGGAGAGGACCGATATTTATCATCTTCATACCAGACATTAGGTTAACAAAAATTTTGTAATCTGTGCAAAAAAAACTTATGTAACTCTTCGAAATATTGGTCCCCGACATAGATCTTCCTATCTCGCCGAGCTGAGTCGATCTAGCTATGAATGCCCGTCCATCTGTCCACGTTAATTTGTAATTACGCTATAGGTTGAAATTATGGTCCAATATTCACGAACTTGGAAAATGGAGGTGGGGTTATTTTATTTTAAGGCAAATCCGTGAAAAATGTGGCAAAAATCCTTAAAAATAACGAATATCGGGAGGTACCGTTATATGGTGACTATATCAAATCGTGAGCCTAAACATGTAATGTTTCGTCACACGAACTAGGACCCATTTTGACCCACAAATACCAATTTTCAGACAAATCAGTGAAAAAATGTGGCAAAAATCATCAAAATACCAAATATTGGGAGGTACCGTTATATGGGGACTATACCAAAACGTGGACCAATATATCTCATTCAATACCAACCATCCTAGACAAAATGCAAATTGTTCTGCTAAATTTTGACGGTCTACGTCAAATAATGTGGGCTGTATCGTGATTTCAACAGACAGACAGACGGAAATCATTAATTCGACTTAGAATTTTATGCTGATTATGAATATATATATATATATATATATATATATATATATATATATATATATATATATATATATATATATATATATATATATACATACTTTATGGGGTCTACGGCGAATATTTAGGAATGTTACAAACGGAATGACAAAGTTAATATACCCTTTTTTCCAAGGTGGAGGGTATAAAAATACAACAATTTCCACTAAACCGGATATATAGCAAAATATGTGCAATAAATATGTAAAAGAAATAGATCTAAGTTATTCTGCTTATATGCTAAGAACCGCTGAACTGATTTTCAAAAATCCCATTAATTCGGATAATTTGGCAGAAACGTATGAAATCTAAAAAAATCACGTAAAATACGACAGTAAAAAAGCGAATATTTTTTTGTTACATTTTTTGTCACATTTTTTATCGCATGCGAATTTTATACCCTACACCACAAGGTGGTCAGGGTATTATGTCTTTGTACATTTGTTTGTAACAGGCAAAAGGAAATGAGATAGACCCATAGTTCCTTTTGATGAACTGCATAGAATCACTTTCTGAGTTGATTTATGCATGTCAGTCCGTCTGTCCATGTATTCTTGTGAACAAAATGCAGGTCGCATTTATTATCCGATTGAGATTAAATTTTCCAAACAACATTTGTTTGGTCCAAGGATGAACCCTATTGAAATTGGAGATTATCGGTAAAGATTTAGACATAGCTCCCATATATAACTTCGTCCGATTTTCCTTTTATTGTGCACCAAACGTCTAATATTTGCCCAAATGGGATGGAATTTGGCACATACGACCGAATTGAGTCTAAAAGGTAGTATGCCAAATTTGGTGAAGATCGGTTCAGATATAGCTATAGCTCCCATATATATTGTTCATCCGATTTGTTTTATTTGTTACCCTCAGTCATATGCACTCCTTTACAACGATATTCAGGGAAATATATCAAATACAGCTCAGAAATATCTTTGCCAATTTTTTTCGAGATCGGTTCAGATTTGGATATAGCTCCCATATATAACTTCGTCCGATTTACCTTTTATTGTGCACCAAACGTCTAATATTTGCCCAAATAGGACCGACAAATACGACCGAATTGAATCTAGAAGGTAGTATGCCAAATGTGGTGAAGATCGGTTGAGATATAGCTATAGCTCCCATATATATTGTTCATCCGATTTGTTGTATTTGTTACCCACAGTCATATGCACCCGTTACAACGATATTCAGGAAAATATATCAAATACAGCTCATAAATATCTTTGCCAAATTTTTTCGAGATCGGTTCAGATTTGGATAATGCTCCCATATATATCTTTATCTGATTTCAAATTAATTTACAATAATTTAAAAGATACAAATGCTTCGGCATATTTAGTCCTTTGAATTTTAACTTAAAATTATAATCATAGGGTGAATGATTGAATTCTCCCATAAAAATGTTTAATTGTTATGTGGAGCTCAACTAAATTAGCAAAGTGGTGTAAGGTATCATAAAATCGGTCCCTTCCGACTTTAGGACTTTCTTTACTGGTTTCAATTTGACTTAGAATTTGAAATTGTTCATTTTCTGAATTTCTACTCTCCGCAACACTACGTGTTGAGGGTATTTTATACAGGTCGAAATCATCGTCCGATCCTCACGAAAATTTCCAGAGGGGTAGGGTTGGGGTCTCAATTAAAGCCTCTTGATTTTGGATATGAACATCTAAGGGTTCAAATAGACCAAAAATTTAAAATTTTCCTGATTTTGTCGCTCTCCATCGCTCTAAAGGTTAGAATTGAAAACCAATCGACACGGAATTTTGCATGAGAATAGAGAGATACAGGGACGAAGTCTGGCATTTTGGATGCCCATTTAATTATATTTAGCTGTAAAATGGTCCACAACTTTCACGTGAAATTGTTTTGAATACCTAACAACACAACGGAGTGCCTAAATATTGGCCAATTTCCCCGGGTCAAAAACCTAGGAATAACTTCTTGCAGGGCTCTATGACAATATTTCAAAAACTAAATCTTCCAAAATGGATTTAAACATAAGTGGCCTTTCAACAGTGTTGTAGGGTATTACATGGTCGGACCCACACGACTATAGCCTTTGCTATACGTTTGAATTAATGAATCACAATATTTTCTCTTTCCAGATTCAATGCTCAACATCGTGTGTAAGTCCACTATAAATATACCTTCAAGAACATACAAATATTTAAACCCCATGCATTACCTCTTTTGGAACATAACAATCTTGTCCTCCTCCAAATCCTTCATATCGACTTTAGATAACAGCTCCTCTTGTTCACTGCTGTAACTCAGCAATTGGGTATAGACATGGGCTGACATAAAGTTTTTGTTGCTATAGAATGGGTCCTCAGGTTTACGGAAATATTGATGGTGTAAACGATGCGCACGCACCCAATTGTAGATGGAGCCCTGAGAAAATATTTTTATATAAATTCTTTATATTGCATATCGAAATTGTTTGTATCCTTACCTGACCGGCAATGGTTTGACACAACATAAGGAAAATTTTCAATCCATTTGTTGCCTTATAGGTGCCATGAGCCCACAGTCTGTGGGCACCAGCTGTTGCACCCAAAATACCCAATACTGTTAATGTCAAAGCTAAACGACACAAAAATTAAATATTAATGTATTCCTAATTCCGCTTCCAATGAAATTCACTTGTTCGACATTGTACCGAAAGAAATGTACATTTTAATATTTAGAAAATACTCACTGAATACAATTGTCAGCCATGAGGCACTGGTTAGCGTAACAAATATGCCGTAGAGACCCAAAATGTGTAAATGTATGAAAAATAACACCGAAGGCCAACTAGCTTCACGTTTAAATGCTTTGGTCTCTGTTTCTGGAACGGTTGCAGTTGTGGATTGTTGGGTCTCCATTTTGTTTTATTGGTTTCTGAAAGTTCATTATAAATACATACAAGTGAATTATAAAACATCCATTAAAACATTTAAGTATAAGGTTCAGCTGGAAATAAAATATGTTAATTTTGACTGTACTGCTTCGATTCTTAATTTATATACGTTCGAGTGTTAGTCCGGACTTCACATTATAGCAAATGTTCTTCCTTAAAATTAAACCCTATTGGTCTTGTTTCTGTAGTCGATACGAATATGAATACCAAAGAAAAACAACACTCGAAGCTACTCCAGCGAGTCGGTCTGTCTGTCTATGTGTGCCCGTACGTCGGCCTGGCCCTACAGTTATTACCCTCCACCTTAGAGTAAAGAAAACATTTTTATATAAAAATATCTGAATACAAACTTGTTCCATTTTAAACTACTAATAGCATTAAGACCTTTTGGATAATGCTGTTCCACTTTTCAAAAAACCATAAATTGGGTGAGGCCGTTATACGGAAGCCATATCGGAAATTTCTAAAGACAACTTTATACTTCAAGGATTTTCATCTACCAAATCTTTTTAAATACCAAATTTGAATCAATTTTGTGGGTAAATGCGACTAGGATTATCAAAATACCGAATATCGGTGGGTATGGTTAATATGTGCGCTATAGAAAAAATTGGACCTATAAATACTATGTTCCGCCACCATAGCTAGAACCCATTACGAACTACAAATACCAATTTTTAGACAAATTCATAAAAAATGTGGCAAAAATCAACAAAACCCCGATTATCGGGAGATACCGTTATATCGGGTCTATATCAAAACGCGCACCTATATATACTATGTTCCGCCACCGAGAACTAGAATCCATAACGAACTACAAATACCAATTTTTAGACAAATCCAAAGCGGGAGGTACCGTTATGTGATGACTATACAACAACTTGGACCTGTACATAAAATATTTCGCTACCGGAGCCCTTTATGACTTACCAATGCCAATTTTTGACACATCCGTGGGAAATGTGGTGAAAATCATTAAAATACCGAATATAGGTAACGTACCGTTATATGGCAGACTGATATATCTCATTTGCAATACCAACCATCCTAGATACCATACAAATCGTTCTGCCAAATTTTGAAGCTCTTCGTCAAAAAATGTGTGTTGTATTGTGATTTGAACTGACAGACGTTCAGACTGACATCGTTAAATCGACTTAGAATTTTATGCTGATTATGAATATATTTTCGGAATCATTTTCTGTTTTCCGACTTTTCCAAGACTGACTTTCATTAAGTTGAGTGGCCGAAAGTTCATTTACACAGGGTCTTCGATTTGTTATTCCTCAGGAGCTTCGGATTGCTGTTCCGCAGGAGTTGATACACGACCCAAATAGGCAATCCCCAACATACCCACCAGAGTGAGCTGTCGGTCCCGAACGAGTTTCGATCCACCTGCAAAGGCCTAGACATGGGCTGCCGAACATATCTTTAACAAGCTCCCGAATCCAAATGAGGCCCGATCCCCACAATGAGTTGCCGAAAGCGAACGAATCCAAACCCGTCTACGAAGACCTGCATGACTGCCTCCGAGCATAACCACAGTGAGTTGTCGACATCGGGTATCTCTACATTGAACTGGTAACGATTCCCCAACTGCCTCCGAAGACCTGAACGTCAACATCCCAAACAACTAACTCGTAAGCCTCGATTTTCCACCACTCGTCAGCCTTTCTCTAAGGTTCCCGATTATCTTCAAATCTGCAAAATACCGAGCTCTAATGTCACTAGGAGCGCCAAACTCGACATCCGACAATCAACGACCATAATTTCCCGATTATCTTCAAATCCTCAACATTCTGAGCACCCACACCACTGGAATTAATCTTCTCACAAAAAATGGGAACTATTGTTGATTTAGTTTGGAATCGGGAGACTATATCAAGAAGGGTACCTGTTTTAAATATCTATTTGTGAGCAACTCAACAGTGAAACTACCACTGAAACTTGAAGCCGAATCAGAACGAAATCCGAACTTATCATTATGTTGAAGCTATACACAAACGAAAACATATATACGAATAATTTCAATGCCGGTCGAATTCAAATCATGAATATTTACTTATATTTTTGACGAATGCGAAACTTGAAATAATCGATGAATAATGTAGCTAAAATCATCAAAATACCGAATATCGGGAGGTACCATTTATATGGGGATATACCAAAACGTGGACCTGCATACGAAATTTTTTGTCATAGGCTGAAGTACCCTTTTCGAACTTTAAATACGTAATTTGTGACAATTACGGTTAACAATGTCGCTAAAATCATCAAAATACCGAATATCGGAAGGTACCGAAGACGAGAACCTTAACAGACAATTTTCTATCTTAGGCTGTAGTATCCATTTCGAACTTCAAATACCAAAGTTGAAACAATTCCGGTGAACAATGTCGCTAAAATCATCGAAATACCGAATATCGGGGGGTGGGTCACCGTTATATGGGGCTATACGAAGACGTGGACCTGCACAGACAATTTTAAATACCAAAAGTTCTGCAGAAGTTTATCAAACTACTTCATTTCGTTCGGAAGCTAGAGTGATTTCACAGACGGACAGACGGATGGATATTGTTAAATCGGCATAGATTCGAGGCGTTACAAACGGAATGACCAACTTAATATACCTTCCATACTATGGTGGAGGGTAATTAATAACCATATTCATACACCACCGTGCTCTAATTATAGCCTACAACACTATGTGTTAGGGGTATTATAAGTTTGATTGGGCCAAAAATTATGTAACACCTCGAAATATTGGTTTCCCATATAGGAAAGTATATATGGGTCTTCCTAGCTCGCCGAGCTGAGTCGATCTAGCTATGTATGTCCGTCCGTCCGTCTGTCCATGTTAATTTGTAATCAAGCTACAGGTCGCAATTATGAACCGATCCTCGCGAAATTGAAAATGGAGATTTTTGGAGATGATCGCACGATATTTAAGGGTTGAAATGGACCAAAAACGGAAAATTTTCCTGATTTTGCAGTTGATCTATAGGCCACAATTATGAACCAATCGACGAGAAAATTTACATGGAGTTAGAGTTTGGGACTGGGCAGAAACCTACCAATTTGAGCGTCCATCGGAAAATAATTAGCGGATAAAATAGACCCCAACTTTTATGTTAGAAAATAGGAAAATTTCCACAAAACCGCCACTATTTTTAATCCCAGCCAAGTCCCAAATACATTAAAAGATCACTTCTGACGATTACAGTGATGCTAATAGCCAAGAAATCGGATATAAAGCAAAATAGGTACAATGCATATGTAAAAGAATTGATCTTATTTATTCTGCTTATAAATCAAGAACCGCTGGTTCGACTTTCACAATTCCCATCAATTCGGAATGGTCTCTTGCCAGAAAAGGATAAAATCTAAGAAAATCGAGGAATAATATACCAATAAAAAAGTTATATATTTTGTTTATTTTTTTTTCATATTTTTTTATCGCATGCAATTTTTTCAATTTGACTTACAATTTTGAATTTTAAATTTTCTAAATTTTTACACCCCTAACACTACGTTTTGAGGGTATTATATGTATGTCGCAATTATCGTCCGATGCTCACGAAATTTTGCATGGGGGTAGGGTCGGAATTGAAGCATATTGTTCTTAGGATGTGCATTTAGAGGTTTAAATTGCTAAAAATTTTTAAATTTTTCTAATTTTGTAGCCGTTCTATAGGCCACAATTCAAAACTAATCGACAGGGAATTTCGCATCGGAAGAGAGTTGAGGACAGAGAAGAAATCTAGTATTTTGGATGACAATTGGATTCTATTTAGCTGTAAAATGGACCACAACTTTCGTGTGCAACACTACGGAGTGCGTAAATATTAGCCTAATTTCACGGGTCAAAAACCTAAGGGTAACCTCTGGGCAGAGCTCTTTGGCATTATTTCAAAAAACGAAATCTTCCAAAATGGATTTGGATATAAAGGGACTTCGAACATATTGTAGTGTTGTAGGGTATCGCATGGTCGGCCCCGCACGACTATAACCTTTGCTTACTTGTTTTTCCATAAATATATTTTTAAGTGAAAAAACTTCGATTCTTTTTTAATTGCAATTTGGAAGTATTTTAAAGATTCCAAAAAGTAATATTCTAGATAATACTCAGCATGGAAACTTATTTAAAAAAATGTGAATAGCTTAGCTCATAGTTTCCTTTGTATATTTTTATTGTAAAGGAATTCCAGGAATTGTCACAAAATATCTTTTTTTTTAAACATATTTTCATTTCACCCAGTCACATTTCACGAATAACCTCAAATTTATCTATTTACATACCTAGAACGTTTTTAACAGGATTCTCTTTTATACAAAAAAATATACCCAATAATCCTTTGCTACAAATTCACTTTCCGAACGAGCTACAATCCTCGTCTGGTTAACACACGCTTCCGTTTACAACTAAGATCTATAAAAATATATATACTGAAAGTACCCTCTTTGAAATCGAATAAAATGAATTAATTAGAATAAAAAATGGGAAAGAAACGAAGAAATCCAAATTCGATTTATTTAACATTAAATACGTTCCACACGCGTCGCAAGGTGGCAAAGAGCAATTCCACAAAATTAACATTATGGAAAACAAAAAAAAATACAACCTCAGAATTAAGTAACCACAAAATGGACTTGTATACACAATTACACGTTTGTAACTAAATATGGAATCTGATATATTTAATAATTACACTATGCATTTCCTTTTTTTTTTTTTTGCTTGTAACAAAAACAGAGAATGAAAACCATTAACAGTTTATTTGAAGTTTTTTCTTTTACTAAATCAATTTTATTATTTCATTTTTGCCAATTCTTGTAAGTCATCTTTGGGTATATCCTTATCGCCAAAGCCCCATACCGCATCTTTGTGGGCAAATTCATCGGTCAAGAAACGACTGCCATCACCGCATTTTTGAGCCCTGCGCTTTACCATGTCGGGTGAAACGGATTTACCTGGATTTTTGGTAGAGAGAGATAAGAGGCTGTTATTGGTAAATTTCGAATCAGAATTCATTCAAAACTTACGTCCAGATGCCAAACCATATTTGGCACACAAATCAATAAAACCGGTTGTAATATTCAGGCGATAGCTACCAAACTCTCCAGTTTTGTAATCCCAGGGAAATACATGATGATAATTATGCCAGCCCTCGCCTAAAGCTACAAATGCTACGAAGGGACTTTCGGTGGGGCTAATGTTCCTGAAAAAAATATATAAATTTATTTGTGTTTTACAAAAGAATCAGGAAATAATTAAAAATTAAATCTTAGTAGATATTTAGTATCTTTACCCGGTAACAAGGATGCTTAACAAAAAGAACAAGTAAAAAAGCTGTAAGTACGGCCGGGCCGAACTTTTAATACCCTCCACTATTTGGAACGATTTTGGCAATTTTTCAAAAAATAAAACCCGTTAAAAATCTGTTAAAATCTTCAAAATACCAAATGTAGCCGTCAGATTAGGGTCTAAACGACGACGTGGACCTGCATAGGCCATTACAATATTCATATGCCAAACTTGAAAAAAAAATCGTGAATAATGTAGCTAAAATCATCAATATAGGGAGGTACTATTATATGGGGGCTATACAAAGACGTTGACCTGCACAGACAATTTTCTGTCTTAGGCTGCACTATCCATTACGAACTTCAAATACCAAATTTGAAACAATTCCGGCGAATAATGTCGCTAAAATCATCAAAATACCGAATATCGGGAAGTATCGTTATATGGGGCTATACGAAGACGTGAACCTGCATGGACAATTTTCTGCCATAGGCTGTAGTATCCATTACGAACTTCAAATACCAAATTTGAAATAAATCCGGTGAATAATGTCGCTAAAATCATGAAAATACCGTATATTGGGTGGGTACCGTTATATGGGGGCTAACCGAAGACGTGGACCTGCATGGACAATTTTCTGTCATAGGCTGTAGTATCCATTACGAACTTCAAATTCCAAATTTGAAATAACCCCGGTGAATAATGTCGCTAAAATCATGAAAATACCGAATATCGGTGGGTCGGTGGGGGCTATCCGAGGACGTGGACCTGCACAGACAACCTTCAACCAAAACGTGCCTCGTCGAAATAACGGTATTAGACCCTAGGTCTCTTTGGACCAAATCCGTTTCAGAACCATCCGTCTAGCTGGCTGGTGCGCATGATAACTCTCGAAGGGAGTATCCGATTTGTTCCAAAGTTGGTACATCGTAACATTATTGTCAAACTGAGATCGAGTTCGGATATGGACAATATCGGTCAACTCTCTCTGGCACCTTCCACACAAAATGTCAAAAATTTCAATGAAAATAATTTATTGCACATAAGGAGAAAGGATTATCCGACTTTGCTCCAACTTTGCGAATCATAATATTTTCATCAGTCCTAGGTCAGGTGGACAACATCGGTCCACTCCATCAAGTACTTCCCCCACAAAGGGTCAAAACTTTGAATAATTACAACACTTACAAAGTGTGATGTTAGAGTTCGATTGTCTTCAAATTTCACATATCCCAATAGTTTTATTAACCCAAGGTCTGGTGCCAAGATGGAATACATCGGTCCACAAAATGTCGAAATTTTCAAAAGAAAAAACATCAAAAAATATATTTTTTTGCAAATCCTAACATTTGCGTCAGTTCTAGGTCAAGTACAAAAATATATAATATCGGTCGACCCAATCAAGTGCCTCCCCCACAAAGGGTAATTTGAATTATTATAATTATAACTCTTCTAAAATGTGATTTAAGAATCCGATTATCTTAAAATTTCACACATCCCAATATGTTTATAAACCCAAGATCTGGTATTAAAATGGAATATATTGGTCCACTCCTTCTGGTACATCCCCCACAAAAGGTTGAAATTTTGAATATCCATTGAGATAATAAAACGCGAAAATCATATCCGATTCAATTTAGACTTGGCACATCTGAATATTTCTATCAACACAGGATCTGTTATGTAAATGGTCTGGTACCTTCCCCACAAAGGGTCAAAGTTTTGAATAACCAAAACGTTTATAAAATCACAAATAAACATCAGATTCTCCTTATAATTCACACATCCCATTATTTCCATGAATACCCATGAAGCTCATAAAAATCGAAATTAACATCCGATACCATTTAAGGCTAGGTACATCTCAATATTTCCATCAACACAAGATCTGTTATAAAGATGGTAGAGATCGGACCATTTATTTTGCTACCTTCTCATAGGGTTTAAGATTTTGAAATACAACAAGATCAAAGAAAGCGAAATAAGCATTCAACTCTCCTCAAATTTCACGCATGCAAACATTTTAGCAAATATGTTGTGCAGATGATATATATCTGTGAACCCCTTCTGATACCTCACTCACAAAGGGTCACACTTTTCAATATTTTTATCTGCCATAAATTGCGAAACAAGTCAGCGATTCTTTACAACTTGCTTTATCTAAATAAATCTCTTTTTGCCAAAAACCTGAGATGAATATAGAATTTATGATTTTCCATAAAGTGGATATAAATGTTCGATTTTCTTGTAATATTGATCACGCACATGTTAACATTTCCTAAAAATTATCATAAATGTCATGCAAAGTGAAGGAAGTTACCAACATAGTCCAAACCTGGCACGTCACAATATTTATAACATATTTATTTAGGTCCGATACGAAATGGTCAATATTGGCACATTCCTTCGGAACCTACTCCATAAGGGGTTAAAAATTTGTCTAACCATAACAGAAGTCAATATATATTCAAATAATCGTACATTGGCTGAGGGTATACATCCGAACCGAAAGATACTTTTTAACTTGTTTATGTGTAGGTTAGCACAATGTTACACACTCTTACAGAAGATAGATAACGTAAAAGTTTCCTTCAAAAGTTAAAAGGGTCTCCCCATAAACTTCTATTCTTCTTAACTTTCTGGTGGATTGAAATTCTTTTCTACTTACTTATCATACGGTTTCGATCCAAACATATGGGCCACACTGTTCACAAAGAACGCCGCATTCAAAGTCAATGTAAATCTCAGAGTAAAGCAAATCCAAAATGATTTCCACAATGTTTCACCCCAGAAATACCATGGTGTCAATACTGGCATACCAATTGAGATGACCGCAAACAATGGAATATACCATTTCTTTTGGAACATGACCACCTTATCATTCTCCAAGTCGGACATGTCAATAACTTTACGCTTCTCCGCTACTTTAGGGTGTGGTGTCAAGAACAACCAGCCGACATGTGAGAACCAAAAGCCACGCTTAGCATTGTGGGGATCCGCTTCAGTCTCCGAGAATTTGTGATGGATCCTATGATCCAGGGCCCAAGTGTAGGCATCACGCTGCAACATAGGTATGTTAGAATGATAACAATTAGAAGGTCGTGTATCAAATACTCACCTGGCCGGCAATGGTGAATAAAAACATTAAGACAATACGCAATGGCAGCGAAGCATTATACGATTTGTGTGACCATAAGCGATGAGCTCCGGCTGTTATACCAATGCCAGATATCCAGATGGTTATGATTACTGAAAATTAAGAAGAATAACAAATTATTAATAGATTTTAACATACGCACATAATAGATCGATTGTGAAGATAAAAAATATTCCATGTTCCAAATACTTGTGAGACAAACACACAACCTCTTCCGCTCTCCTTAGACTGCTTCCAATTGTTCATGACAACATACATTTTGGGCTAGGTCAAAGTTTAGGTAGAAAAATTAAAAATAAATTTCTTGAGTTCTTGTTTTTTTCATAGATCACTGACTGTCATTCTGCTCAAAGCAAATGTAATTAATACAATGTCATTGGCATATGTGTGTATGTATATTGTTGTTGTGGTTAATGATCATTGAACCCACCCAATTTATGTAAATTATAATCCAAAAATTTCTGAAAAACTTGGGCAATATCGACTCACTCCTTCGCCTTCCGGTACCCACATGGCGGGAGAGTAAAAATTATAAAACAAGTAAAAAAGCCGGGCCGAACTTTGAATACCCTCCACCATTTGGTACAAATTAAACAATTTTTAAAAAAAATAAAATCCCTTAAAAATTCTGTTAAAATGTGGAAAATACCTAATGTAGCCGTATATTAGAGTCTATACGACGACGTGGACCTGCATAGGCAACTTTCGTAAAAAGCTATTACAATATTCAAATGAGAAACTTGAAAAAAGAATAGTGAATATAGGGAGGTACCATGGTGGTTATAAAACGTGGATCTGCACAGACAATTTTCTGTCATTGGCTGTAATATCGAACTTCAAATGCGAAATTTGAAACATTTTCGGTAAATAATGTCGATAAAATCATCAAAATACTGCACAGACAATGTTCTGTCATAGGCTGTAGTATTCATTACGAACTTCAAATGCGAAATTTTAAACAATTTCGTAAATAATGTCGCTAAAATCATGAAAATACCGAAGATCGGAGGGTACCGTTATATGGGGGCTATACGAAGGCATGGACCTGCACAGACAATTTTCTGTGATAGGCTGTAGCATCCTTTACGAACTTCAAATACAAAATGTGAAACAATTCCGATAAATAATGTCGCTAAAATCATGAAAATACCGAAGATCGGAGGGTACCGTTATATGGGGACTATACGAAGACATGGACCTGCACAGACAATTTTATGTCGTTTTTCTGTCTTAAGCCGTAGCATCTATTACGAACTTTAAACAATTCCGGTAAAAATGTTGCTAGAATCATCAAAATATCAAAAATCGGGAGGTACCGTTATATGAGGGCTATACGAAGACGTAGACCTACATGGCCCATTTTCAATACCATAAGTCCTGCAGACATAGTACACATTTGAGTAAAATTTTATCAACCTACTTCATTTCGTTCGGAAGCTAGAGTGATTTCCACAGACGGATAGACGAACAGACGGACGGGCATTGATAAATCGACATAAAATTTTATGCTGATCACGAATATATAAACTTTGTGGGGTCTAAAATGTATATTTCGAGGTGTTACAAACGGAATGACAAACTTAATATACCCTCCATACTATGGTGGAGGGTATAAAAACAATTTAGGAAGTATTAGTCGGTTTTGCCTCAGCCTATGCCAGTTTATTAAAATATATTTTGACTTACATTAAGATTATTCAAAATGTTGACCCTTTACTAAAGTGGTACCGAAAGAGTAGACCAATATTACCTAATTCTCATTTGGACTAACTCTGATGCAAATATTACAACGTCACCGATTTGGGCCATAATGACTGTTTCGGCTTATGTTGAGTTTAGGGCCTATGCTCGTATTGGCCTGAAATATTTATCATTGGCAGGTATTTATACCCTACACCACATAGGGGTAAGGGCATTATGTCTTTGTGCATTTGGTTGTAACAGGAAGACGGAAGTGAGATAGACCCATAGTTACATCTGAGGATATTCATAGAATCATTTTCTGAGTCGATTTCAGTCAGTCCGTCCGCCCATGTATTCTAATTCATTATAGATATATAAAAAATTATATATAGCTATAGCTCCCATATATATATTTCATCCCATTTGGTTTTTAAATCCCTCATATTCGTAATATGCATTCGACAACAATGACATAGCATACCTCTGCCAAATTGTATTATACCCTACACCACAAGGTGGTCAGGGTATTATGTCTTTGTGCATTTGTTTGTAACAGCCAGAAGGAAACGATATAGACCCATAGTTCCTTTTGATGATCTGCATAGAATCACTTTCTGAGTTGATTTATGCATGTCAGTCCGTCCGTCCAGGTCGCATTTATTATCCGATTGAGATGAAATTTTCCAAACAACATTTGTTTGGCCCAAGAACGAACCCTATTGAAATTGGAGATAATCGGTAAAAAATTAGATATAGCCTCCAAATATATCTTCGTCCGATTTGCCTTTTATTGTGCACCAAACGTGTAATATCAGCCCGAAGAGAATAGAATTTTGCATATACAACCAAATTAGGCCTGAAAATAAGTATGCCAAATTTGATCGAAATCGGTTCAGTTAAAGCTATAGCTCCCATATATATTGTTCATCCGATTTGTTATTTTTGTCCTCCGCAGCCGTAATATGCACTCTGTAACAATAATATTTGGGGAAATATATCAAATGCAGCTCAGAAATACCTTTGCTAAATTTTATCGAGGTCGGTTCAGATTTGGATATAGCTCCCATATATAACTTCATCCGATTTACCTTTTATTGTGCACCAAACGTCTAATATTTGCCCAAATGGAATGGAATTTGGCACATACGACCGAATTGAGTCTTGAAGGTAGAATGCCAAATTTGGTGAAGATCGGTTCAGATATAGCAATAGCTCCCATATATATTTTTCATCCGATTTGTTGTATTTGTTACCCACAGCCGTAATATGCACTCCGTAACAACGATATTCAGGGAAATATATCAAATACAGCTCAGAAATATCTTTGCCAAATTTTATCGAGATTGGTTCCGATTTAGATATAGCTCCCATATATATCTTTTTAAATTAATTTAAAACAAGTAAGCAAAGGCTACAGTCGAGCGGGGCCGACAGTTGAATACCCTACAACACTATAATAAACCATACAGTTTATATAGGCGAAATACTCGAAAGAATTCCACAAGATATTGTAACAAATAATAAAAGAAACCATCAGGTTTCGTTCTCTAATTTTCGAATAATAGCAACTTAAACTAATTTGCTAATTTCCAATTTATTGGTAGATGTTGCACGTAAATGGTCTTCCTAGATCTGGAACCAATATTTCCCAAAGACCTATAACCTCTCAGAAGTGGCAAAAGATTAAGATTTATTATTGGTTTTTGACTGAACGCATCTATATGAGATACAGAGATTTGACTATATTCTTCAACGAAATCAGCGTTAACGAAATAGTCGGAAGTGCGTCTTTCCTGTATATGTGAATTCTCCAAAAAGTCACCGGAATGGACATTTTCGTATTTTGTCTACAAAAGTTGGCAAACTATTTCACACATTGAATATTTTTGGATGGCCATCCGAAACTGCTTGTCTTTTGCAATGTCCGGTAACCCCCATTCAAATGTGCGTGAGGATCGGGCGATAATTACGACCTGCTGACAATTTTGCAGTTTTTTGGTCCATTTCAACCCCTAAATATATGGCGATCATCTCCAAAAAGAGTAGGCTTTTATTCTGACCCTCATCTTATCCCCATGCAAAATTTCGTAAGGATCGGGCCATAAATGAGATCTGTATATGATATCCTGATATCCTAACTACTCAGTTTTGTTAGCTGTAGAAATATTACCAAATGTTTAATTCAAAATGAAAATATGCCAAAAATATGACAAAATTGACAAAATTGAAAAAATATGAGAACATTTTACAAAATCAATATTTTTGTCTTTAGAGAGATATTTGTATGCGATTTTTTTAGACGTTTTTCCTTTCCTGCCAAGAGGCCATTCTGAATTATTGAGAACTGTCGAAATCAGTTCAGCCGTTCTCCACATATAAGAGATCTTTCAAGCATATCTTCTTTGATAGACATATATAACGCACATATTTTGCTATATATCCGATTTGTTGGATAATAACATCAATGTAAAGGTCAGAAGTAACCTTGTGATGGCTTTGTGATTTCGCCGGGATTTAAAATATTCACGGTTTAATGAAAAATTTTGATTTTTTTCAACACAAAAGATATGGTATATTTTACCCGCTAAATATTATTCGATGACCACCCAAATTAGTAGGCTTCTTCCCCGCCCTAAACTCTATCTACATGCGAAATTTCGCGTCGATTGGTCTATAATTGCGACCTGTATAGCTACTGCAAAATCCGACATTTTTTCAGTATTTGGTCCATTTCAACCCCTAAACATTTGGCGATCATCTCCAAAAGCAATAGGGTTCTATTCTGGTCCAAGCCCCACCTACATTCTAAATTTCGTGAAGATCGGGCCATAATTGCGACCTGTAGAGTGATTACAAATTAACATGGACAGACGGACAGACGGACGGACGGACATACATAGCTAGATCGACTCAGCTCGGCGAGCTAGGAAGATCCATATATACTTTCCTATGTGGGAAACCAATATTTCGAGGTGTTACATAAATTCTGGCCCAATCAAACTTATAATACCCCCAACACATAGTGTTGTAGGCTATAAAAACAGGAAATTCCGTCGAAAAATACCGCTCAAAGGAAAACTGATATATGTGGGGATTATACGAAGACGTTGTCATATGTTCTGGTACCCATTACAAGCTTGAAATACGAAACAATTCTGGTGAATAATGTGCCCAAATTCATCAAAATACCGAATATCAGAAGTAATCGTTATATGGGGGCTGTACGAAGACGTGGACCTGCACATATTTTCTGTCATAGGCTGTAGTATCCATTACGAACTTCAAATACAAAATTTGAAATAATTCCGGTGAACAATGTTCTTAAAATCATCAAAATACCGAATATTAGGTGCTATCGTTATAGGGGGGCTATACGAAGATGTGGACCTACATACGCAATATTTTGTCA